TTTGCACAATTTTCTTTTCAGGACTGTTTTTATTGCCTTATTTATACATGGACACTATATTTACCCTTTTGCAGGTTTCTGGGATCACCCCTGTCCTCCACACATTTTAAAGGTTTTCACTAAAGGCTCAAAGATAATTTCAGCCTATTTCTTTTAGGATGGAATTTCATCTGGCCCTGCTTACTCAAGGACATCTAAATAATTCTTAACGTCTTCTCCAATTTTAACTTCAGATCCTATCCCAATTACGTTGATGTTCACTATGTTAGTGATCCAATCATTGCTAACTTTTTTGGTGAAAACTGAAAGAAAAAAGTCATTTAACACTTTGGCTACTGCTGCATTTTCTGTTACTGTCTTTCCCTCATCATTTAGTAATGGGCCAACCTTGTTCTTGGTCTTTTTTTCCATCTCAGCCACTATATATTTGAGAGAGCTTGTCTGTTCAAGAATGTCTCCTAAACAGTAAGAGCTGAGACCACCAAATTTGGTATGCAGCTTCCTTATAATAACTTAAGCTCTTAAAGAAAGGCAAGGGTTTAGTTCTCCCAGGAAAATAGGATATGTCTGGAATGGGCTTGCTTCTCAGAAAACCATATAGAAAAGAGAGAATCACCAGGCAGGTAAAAGGGGTTGTTGGGGGGCTTGCCTCTCTGCATCCAGGACTGACCTAACCCTGAGCCTCCCATCCCCCAGGTGCCATTTAGGGAGGGCAGAGCGGGGCTGAATCTCCTCCCCCATGATTAGTATGGGATCATTGCTGGCTGTTCCCCTTCATCAGGGAGGGAGGGGAAAGTGCACAGTTTGTTGCATTCCTCACTCTAGCTAGGGAGTGCAGGAAGTTGACAAACCTGCCCTTTCCCCGGCTGTGTCTACTGGAGCTGCAACGGCCATGAAGAGGTGCTTCTCACCTGGCCCCAAGCTGCTGCAGTGAGAAAGGGCTGGGATAAACTCTCCCTGGAGCAGCCTGAATACTAAACCCCTCATCCCCAAGCCCACCCAGAGCAATGATTTGTCACCACCCATTGCAGATGGGGCTGCACTGTGTGGAGGATGCCAGTTTTCACTGACCAGTACAACCTCACATGTATGTTAGGTAGGAGGCCACCATGCATAGAGGATGCCATTTTGCTATGCAAAATGGCATCTCTGCACAGGAAAACCACCTTTTCAACATGCAGATGGAACTCATGTAGGAGCTCAGCTCCACTCCTCTACTTCCTCCTGAGTCTCTGTCCCTCCAGGCCAAAAACCGAAGCCAGGCAGTGGTAAGAGCTGCCCAGAGAGCTCAAGCTGATCTAGGGAGCACTGGACCCTCACCTGCCCTACGTGGGAGGCTGGGATGCCCAAGAGCATCCCCCAACATGCATCCCCATCTCTGGAACATGCTGCAAGTGGATCATCCAGGGCTCCATAGAGCATCACATTTCTGGGTAGCTCTTATTACTGTCTGGCTCCAGCTTCTGGACTAACCAGGGGCAGGGTCTTGGGGAAAAAAAGGAGGAAAAGGGGACAGGACTTCCTGGCAAAAGGTGGGGGAGGATAAGGCCTGCCTGAGCCCTTCCACCAGGAAAAGGCCAGAATCACTCCCATGCTTCCATTTGTCACAAAGTGGAGCCACATGAAATTTGGGACAAATGCTGTCCCAGAGTCATTCATCCCCAGACTGGACTTGAAATATACATCTCAGGATTGTTCTGCTCAATTAGGGACCTCCAGACAGCGTGACCTTACATGAACCATACATATAGGCCATGCTGTACAGAGGATACCATTTTGTATTTTAAAATGGCATCTTCCATGCTGCCTGGGGTCTCGGGAGGAAATAATTCATTAAAATGGGATTATACTAGCAAAATATTTGGGAACCTCTGTGTTATCACTTAATAAAAATAGCTTCACACTTAGCAGTGGCTCTTTTCACACTTTTCAGTGTTTCCATTTGCACTTTGGAATTATACATTTCTCCTCTCACTTTTAGCCATACAAAAATCTGACAGAATCTTCCTGGCACCTATTACTAACAGCAACTCAAAATCATCTGTTTTGACATTTTTCTGCCCTTGAACGGTTTCACACCCATCTTCTTCCCTTGAGAGGAAAGGGGTCCACCCTCCTCCCAACAGTTTTATTTTTAAAATGAAAGGGGATAACACAATGTGCCAAATTCTCATCTCCTCACTCAATGTTTACTAAGACCCCACTGACTGAACAAACACTTACAGCCTGATTCATTAAGACACTTCAGTCCATGAGGAATGCCTTTGAAGCCAATAGCTCTTAAAATTAGGTATGTATCTAATTCCCTTTACATCAGTCCAAATTCTGATGTTTTCGTTTAGGTACAGATTCAACAAGGTAATTATTTTTTCCTTAAAAATGGTTTAACAACTTCTTGAGCATAATTTACACGTCACCCCTCTCATTATGCATGTTTAATGTTTCTGGGCATGTGTAGTACTCTCTCACTCGTAATTTAGTGTGTTACCTAGTTCTTCTATGTTTGTTGTTTAAGAATTTCAAGAGCATTGACTATGTTCTAAGATTCTAGTCAGATAAAGATGCTTTTCCATCTGCTATGATCCTCAATTCATGAGGCCTCAACTATAACTGATGTATGCTACTAACTGCTACCAGTAGGTGGCAGTAATGCCTCATCAAACATATCGTCCAAAATTTTGCTGCAAATATCCCCAGTGTTGTAGCAGTGTTGGTGCCAGGATATAAGAGGCATGAGGCTGGTGAGGGCCTTTATATACCTCAGATTGATTAATTACAGGAAAGGAAGAAAAAAATCTGGAGGGAAAATGACCACTTTTATTAGACCAGCTTCTGGTGATGAGAGAGACAAACATTCTAGCTACACGTCCTTCTTCAGGTCTGTAAAAGATATTCAGTGTGTCTCAGCTAAATACAAGTTTAAACAGATAGTTTAGCATAAGTTGTTAGAACATATTTTAAGGGACCATTTATCTTAGTAGCTTTTCAGACTTGAGGAAGAGTTCTGTGTATAATGTGAAATCTTGTCTCTCGCCAACAGATGTTTGGTCCAATAAAAGAGATTACTGCACCCGCCTTGTCTCTGCAAATATTGGCTACTTGTAACTTCCAAGAAAGTGCCAATTATAATTCAGTAGTCTATGATTAAAGAATCTCAGTGATCAGTTGTAACGACACACAAACTAAATACTGCTTTAAAAAACATGGTTGTTTTTGGATCAGCTTCTATGTAGTTTGCTTTCTTTTCTTATGCATTTAAACAATGAGGGCAAAACAGAACTAACTGTAAATTAAATCTATGATGTGTTACTTACCAGTTGTAACAGATGTAGTTTCAGACATGTATTCCAAAACACAACCCTTCATCTCTTAGGCTATGTCTAGACTGCAGAGTTTTCCAAGATAACGGAGGTATCCCAGAAAAACTCTGCTGCATGCAAGGAACGCATCCGCTTTTCCAAAAAAAAAACAAATCAGAAAAGTGGACACATTTTTTTTGTCATCCCTGTAAACCTCGTTTTAAGTGGAAGAAGGGATGTTCCAAAAGAGGATTTTTTTTCTGAAATCTGGCCTCATGTAGATGGGCCAAATTTTGGAAAAGCCTCTTTTGGAAGTAAATCAGAAAAAGATATGCAATTGTGTGCTGCAAATTGCATTTCTTTTTCCAGTTCATCTTTGTAGTGTAGACATAGCTTTAAGGAAATAAACTGGTGGCAGATCTGGCAATGCTCTTAACACATGAGCTTCCCCCACAATACTATAGACACCTGGGGTGCAGCTACACTGCAGGGTTTAACTCAAAATAAGCTACACATATTGAGCTACATCAATTGTGTATCTTATTTAGAAATAGCTTATTTCAAAATTGGAAGCATCTACACAGCACTTATTTCAAAATAGAGCACTATTCCTCCAACTTCCCTTATTCCTCGTACAATGGGGGTTACAGGAGTCAGATTAAGAAGCCCTCCATCTTAACAGTATTTTGACACTATTTCGAAATAACTGCCTGCTGTGTAGCCGCGGACTAGTCGGACTATTTCGGAATAGTGTTGCAGTGTAGATGTACCCCTGGAATCCAGGTTACTCACCAACATAGGCTTGCTACAGGAGGCACAGGATTTGAAACCTGGAGACTGGGCCATGCTCCTCTGAGCAACTGTGAACTCTAACTATATACACTACAACTAAGAGAAACAAGTCAAAAGTAACTAAATTTATGAAGAAAGGAGGGAATAAGAGAGCCACTAGATGAAAGCCATGCTGAGGGAAGAAGCCATGCTGAGGCATTTTTCCAGCAACCATGAAGAGGTGTGGACTGTCTGGTATCCTTATCTTCAGAGGGATAGCTGAGTTTTTCCTGGTACAAGCAACCCCCAACTTACGACCACCTGAAATACGACCCCCCGCATTTATGACTGCCTTGCTTCGGCCTCTGCCTCCACCCGGCACAGCCCCAGCCGGGTCTGGGAGCAGCTTGCGCCACGCCCCCTTTCCCCGGCACCGCCCCACCACGCTGCCTTCCCCCGGCACAGCCCCAGCCGGCTCTGGTAGCAGCTTGCCCCACGCCCCCTTCCCCCGGCACAGCCCCCAGCCGGCTCTGGGAGCAGCTCACACCACGCTGCCTTCCCCCGGCACAGCCCCCCACCAGTTTTGGGAGCAGCTCGCACCACGGACTTCAACTCCCAGGAGGCAGAGTGGGCAGAGTTTCCCCATTTTTATCATTGCACCTATGGGGAAAAAGGGTTCGACTTATGACAGTTCTCCAGGAACCAATTAGATTGTAAGTTGGGAGTCACTTGTGTCCTTATATCAGTGTGTGAGCATACAACATCAGAGGGTGCTAGACCTGTCCAAACAGATACCACTGAGGGAAAAATTTCCAATGACAGTGCATGCAGCACATGCTCACTTAATGATATGAGCAAGCACTGGAAGAAGAAAATATATATATAAACACCTGGAGAAATAAAGAAGGAAAACAAAAGATAATACCATACCTGGCAATAGCTAAACAGTAGATTGCATTATCTCTTGGAGTTCTTCCATGGTGTTCTGAGAAAGAATCAGAGGAGGAGTTTAAGAGTAATTTAGCATTAGGTGTTGAATAGTAGAAAGGAGGGCGTGAATTTCTGAAGCTAGAAATAGAGGGCAGAGGAACTTTAGCTAAACACATATTTTGGTCCATACTTCCATCTTTTCTAGGCTGAGCAGACTTCTTTCTAATATTCTTCTTTTGGTGAAGTCTAAGTTTGTTATGGAGTTTATTCACCTCATCCAATGGAGGTAATTTGAGTTTTATTAGTTTTTGGTTCTCCTTTGTAACTGTCAAGGGACATGAATTTTTCTCATGTGGAGTTTGATCAGTTAGGTTTGGTAACTTATAGTTCTTATTGCCTGCTGCCTTGATCCTGGCTTTGGAAGTCATTTTTGTCTTTGTAAAGCCATCCACGATAACAGTGTCCCCCACGCGTGTTCTGAAGACTGTAGCTTGGTTAAACCATTTCAGGGTAGGTATGTGATTCTGAGCCCTAAGCAGCCATTGCTTTAATTTAATGTAGATCTTCATGGGAAGTGAAAAATTAGGATAAGAAACGACTGACCACATTTTGGTAACTAAATATTGCACACAATCCTTATGTTTGTGCTTGATACACACATTCAGAGGAATTTTCCCTTCTGGATTTTGGCACTGTAGGCACAACACACTGTAATTGACAAAGGCCTTCAGTATAATTAGTTGGCCTGCTTCTGCAGCTGCATGAACTGGACATTTAGTTATGTCTGGATGATGTGTTTCCTGACACCATTCTCGGTAGGGATGAACACCTACTGCCTCATAGGAGCTCACTCCCTGTTTCAGGATCCATGCTGTGAGCTCAAGGTGGCCAAAAAATGCTGCCACGTAAAGAGCCACCCTTTTTTGATATCTGAAAAAAATAAACATAAAAAATAAATTAACTGAAGAACTAAAAATATCCAGCATAACATAAGTATTAGAAGAATCGTACCATTCAAAATGATATGTATTTCTTTACAGAATGACAGCACAAAAATATTCAGCCAAACATATGCCAAGAAGATATGTTTGTAAGTCTCATAATTTTGCACTCTAATAGGGTGATTAATGGGGTGATTAGATTAGATGGTCCGCATATGAATAAGTAATGTATGGGTTAAAATACATGTAAAGAGGATAGATTTGTCAGACCAAATTCTTATCTAACAATATGTTCTGTGTGTCCTTGTTCTTGGTAAAGAGAGTGGATACCTTTTGCAATGCAAAGCCACTGGTGGGGTGATGTACTGCTCCTAACAGCAATAGGCTATTCAAACTCATGACACAGTCTATACGATAGTATGAAGGCACTGTCAATTATTTCCAAATCTATAATTTCAAGTAATTTGTTAGCTAGCATCCAGTGTAAAAAGACACCATTTGTTTATAGTTCTGACACTTTACATTCTGGGTCTTCAATTAGTCAATTAAACATTGAAAATCTTGTGCTCTAGTCCTGCACTAACCTCCTGAGAACTGGGGAAACAGAGGGCCCATAGGACTGGGAAAAGAGAGAGCCCAAAAACTTAATAAGGTCAAGTTCCACAAGGTCTGTAGCCATGTTCTAAATGTGGTGCCACATTATCATGCAGTGCTGTGATTTTTTACAGGCGGAAAGTGTTAGCATACTGTATTTCATTTAGAATACATCTTACTATGTTAGGTCATGTCTAAAGATCTTTTACAATCACATGATCTTCTTTATCCAGTTAGGTCAGTATTAGGATGTTTTGCTCTTGCACTCATAATAGCTGTGATCCTTTCTCTCCTTTGTATCTTTCACCAAAGCTATGCATTGCAACACAGTCTAACTATACAGTAAGGAACACATGTTGAGAGTTATTAAGGGTGTATTAAATATGGCATTGGCTTACAAAATCACCAAGAAAATGTATTGGCTTAGTCATAAAATCTGCTTGATCCCCTTCATACCATAACAACTTAAAAGTAATTATATTTTACTCACCTAGGAAAAACTTATTCCAGGTGAATGGACAAGTAGAATTTTGCAAGTCTAGTATAAACAATGCTTGTTTGCAAGAAAAGTTTATTAAAAATAATAATGAAGGGAAGGTGATCTTTAGGGCAGCTTTCAGAGGTGTCATTACAATTCCCAGGTGTCCAGATAAGAGAGTGAATTTTTAAAATACTGTACATATACTCCTATTGTAAAATAAGAGCCTAATTCATAGCCAATCAAAATCAATAGGATCAGACTCCAAATTACTAAACTGGGAGCTGGTATTTTTGCTATGCTCCCTTAAATTTAGAAGATATTTCAATTGTTTGAATAGTACCTTATACTAAAATACTAAAGTAAACTGGCAGTTAAATCCAAGATGTAATCAGTTTTCAACAGACACTGTTGGGCACAAAGGTGCTTGGACTAGAGAACTTAAAATGGAGGAAAAAACTAATGCAATTAATTAGTTACTGTACTTGAGTACTGAGTCTTCATCAGAAAGGAAGCGTTGGACTATATGCTTGTTTCCTAAAAGACATCCAGTCAGAAATTCTTTCCATCCATCCCACACATCTAGGCGAAGTGTTGAACCTACCAACAAGATACAATCTCTTAGTATGGTTCCAGTTTCGTTATATTTGCCATATTGTGCATATAAAGGATAGTTGTCCGAATCCTACTGGCTGGATTTTGTGTATTACAACCCTCTGCTGGAGGGAATGTCAGGCCACACCTGTGAATACGTTGTTCTCTCGTGGCTGGCCAAAAATGAGAATACAAGCCCCCTAATACTGTGAATTTACCAAAATACCAATCTGAAAAGATGTACATTTTAGCTAGTTTATATTTAAAAAACAGGCTGTTTGTAGTCTGTTGCACATAGATGAGATATTGATTGGTTACTTGGTCTGAAATAGTCTAAATTTTGTGACCTTCCAGTGATGTAGCAAAAAGTATCTACTGGAAGAGGCATTAGAGAGGGTGAGGGTATGTTCTCAGAATGATGGGTGGAAGGGAGGAGGCTGAAAGAAGCTTTTTGCAGCTGGTTGGTTAGTTGAGTTGTGTTATTGTTCTTGTCTGAAGGTTTGATTTTTAATGCTGCTAGATGGATTATGTTGTAATTGTAACTGAGTGTCAGAGCACTTAAAGGCTGTTGGTAGGTGTCTTTTTTATTATTTAAATCAGAGGTGAAAGTAAGCAGGAGCACGCTGGTGTGCAGCTCCTGCAAGAGTTGGCTGAGCTGTGACAAAAGCCAGCAGAGAGCTATTCAAAGAGCTGGCAAGGACCTGGGTTGCAATAGGACAGTACCTATAAGAAATTATGAGTTACTTTCACTGCTGATTTAAATCAAAATAAACAAACAGATAAATGGTAAGTAATTAGACCTTGAGGTTTGTTATTAACAATCCACTACAGTTTGATATTCATATTTTAAACATAATCACAGAA